TTAACCTAATTCAAGTTTTGTGCAAAAACGCATGATCGCACCGGCTCGCCTGGTGCGTTCCAGTCTTTGTTTTCTCAGCTAACGATTATAAAAAGCAATAAAGAAGCCATGGAATGCGAAGCTGGAGATGGTTAGCTGACCTGCCGATGCACCAAATTCGGTAGTGGAAATTCTGATCAGAACCGCTGCAAAATTTTCGGACATGCGTTTCCCGCAGCCTCATTACTCCACATATTCGAAATAGTGATTTGTTTCACGACAGTCCTCATAAGAACAAATCACTTTCGAAAAATTTTGTGAAAAACTCCGTAACGGATATTATTCAGAGGGCGAAGAATTCTCGAGGTTAGTCATGCAAAGTGTCTACGGTCACTACACATTTTCGGAGCTTTACTGAATTCTTTTTGCCTTCAATAATTGTTAATAAAGTTTGAATATTTTGCGTAAAACCCATATTTTTCAGGAGCGCCTATCGAAGTGAACGTCACCATCCATGTTACAACGATAAGTGCAATTTCGGAAGTCTCCATGGTAGATTATTTTCCAAGAATTCCCTGCGCCAGTTTTCTCCTGACATTTTCAAGTACCCCAGATTGTTTAATCGAGGGACAAAAAACTGAATAATATCTTAGGAGCATTACCTATTCCTTAGGCAACGGAATGGTTTCTAAGAAGGTATGGCTTTCAGGATCAAGCAAAAAGCCGCTATTCTTTTCAAAAGTGCGCCTGCAGGTACATTTATGAAAAGGAAAGCAAATAAGTTCCAGGATTATACAGTGGATTTGTACTTACGTCAGTTTTGGCATGATAGTCGATTAGCATTCGAGAGTGACGATGAGACGAAATTGACTATTGGAATCGATCTGGTGAAGAGTATTTGGGTGCCGGACACGTTTTTTCCAAACGAAAAGAAGTCTTTTTTTCATGAAGCAACAACGCATAACTCCTTCCTTCGTATCGATAGCCGGGGAAACGTGCTGCGCAGCATCAGGTAAATTCATTTTTACGGCTTATCCATAAAAAGTGTTTTAATGCCCCCCCCCCTTGATCAAGGAACTAAAGCCAAATTTTCTTCTTCTTTGACCGGAAAACATTTTCTTTTTCTTTGCGCTTTTTCTTTTTTCTTCCTTCTTCGAATTAATTTAATTCTGAATATATGTGTTTGCTAATTATTTTATTTACCTTCAGGCTGACAGTCACTGCTAATTGTCCAATGAATCTTCATAGCGTAAGCTTTTTATGCGTTTTTTGCAGCAATGCAATGCGAAAAACGCATATTGACGAGAGGTTGTCTG